GAATCACCCATGTTCTGTTTGGTGTTGTATCCCTGTGTTTTGCAAGTGTGTGTGTATATACATGTGTTCTTCTGCTGCCTATGGCTCTGTTTGTTTCTGTGTGTGTGTGCATGTGTGTGTGTGTGTGTGTGTGTGTGTGTGTGTTTGTGTGTGTGCATGCATGTGTGTCTCCTCCCCACTGCAGATGAACAGATGAAGGCAACAGGATAGGAACTGTGGAGCAACTGGAAGGGTAGGCATGAGGCTTCCAGTGATTGGAGAAGGATGTTCACCATTTCTCCAAAGTGCTACTGTCTAGGAAAGGAGTGAGGAAAAGATATCCAGTGAAAACTCAGGACAGTGGGTCAACAAATCAGGGATTACATCAAGAAAAATAAAGTAAGTCACAATTCTGCTGTGCTGTTGAGTGTGTTTGTACCACGATCCATTTGTAAAGGGTTTGATGAGTCACCCAGAGAAAATGAAGTAGTGTGGGGCTCTCAAAGCACCCCCTCTGGATCCCAAGGGTCCTACTCTGTGAAGAAGTATAATATCGATCAGAAGAGGAAGATTTGTGTGAAACAAAAATGCTCTATCATCTGTTGAATCCACCACTTCTGGGTAAAAGTTGTGGGCCTCGTGTGGTGTTTGTGGAATCCATTTTATCTGGTCTATGACAGAAAGAGTTTGCAGGTCTGGCAATTTGGGTACAAAATATATTTACTGGATTATGGGTATTGCCTATGGTGCTGCAAATCTATTCCTGATCTCATGGGTGATGTCCTTATTGTTCAGATGAGCACACATTGATACTCCGTCCTTCCTCGCTGTAGTAGTAATGTGAATTGTCTTTAGCACCAAGGATGGTCTCTTCAGAAAAATGGGTGGTCTGCTATGCAGGTCTGGTCCAAACACTGAATGAATATTCGGGTGTGATGCTGGAGTTTCTAAGTGCTCATGCTCATCTTAGCTAGGAGCCTGTGTTTTCCAGGAATAATCTAATTTCCTGGAGCCCGAGATTGAGCTTAGGGCCTTCCCCCATAGTAACAGCTCCTCCTTGTGTGAGCACATTAACATGTTCAAAGTTTGTGGTTTTTTTTGGGGGGTGGGGTGTTGGGGTGGGGTGGGGTGGGGCTTCACACAGTCTGACTTGGCAGAAAGAAACTTGTTGCAAGACTCCAATTGATTTCAGACGATGTTGAATGGCTCTAGGCCAGATTTTGCCTTCCAGCCCTATCACCTCTATCACCTAGGGCCTCCTTGAGCCTAAGCAGTTTGTGAACCCTTCCCAGATGAAAGCTGTGATGAGTGACCGTGAAGAAGACATGCTTCACTGCTGCATGTTGAACTTGAAGGTCATACTGGGGATAATGACAGGTGAATGGGAGGTGAGTGTGAATGAGAGGGGACATAATTGTCCCTGTAAAGAGGAAAGGACAGCTCTCCTGTAATGAGTTTATATACTCCGCCTACACTGACTTTGTCCTCACAAGAGAGGAACTCAGGAAACCCACTGATGGCTGCAAGAGCACATATTTCTTTTGCAAGAATCTGCGATTACAGAATGTACTAGTTGGGAAGGAGTAGATAGCATCACTGGTATGAGGCAGCTCCCGAATTTGGAGAGTGGGGACAGAAAAGGATATGTTGGTCTTGGCAGGTGATTTACATCCTCCTCCCTTACTCTTTCTTTCCTGGATGATCCTCAACCAGAAACTCATCCCCCTACAACTCAGTGGTACCAGGAATTGGAACATAAGACATACAGCCCCACAGGCACCACAATCCGAGCTACAGCATGAACTTCAACTGGTTCTCTTAGCACAACATTGCAGGATCTAGCAGGATTGCAGATGTGGGTTTCCTATGAGCCTGCACAGAACTGGCAATTGACTTTGACTCCTTGGAGGGCTCATCACCTGATCATCATGTAATTACTTACCTTGTTTCCCTGACAGATGATCATTCCGTTTCTGGGTCAGAAAACCTGAGTCCTAGTTGATGGAGAAGTCTCCACCACAAGAGATAAGTGGGAGGAGGCCAAATGAGAGGACTAGGGTCTGAACACTGACAGGAATGTTCCCAGGAACCTTGGACCTTTATTTCGTCTGTGGAGAAACCGAGCAATCGTGGAACACAGAAGGACATCATGACATGAGGGCAGCCGGATGAGACAGCATGTGTGTAGAAGTAGTGGAAAACAGGCTCTCACTAGGGAAGCTTGAGGTAGATGAAAGAGGCTAACCATCCAAAAGCCACTATTCAGATTTACAGACGACTTCACCGCACTTAACCTCTGAATATCCCTTCCATGTCCTAAAAGCCCAACCACAGTTTCTTCTTCAATTTTGGTGTAATTTCTATTCATTTTGAAAGCCCCTTTCTGAAAAATATCAATAAGTCTCTTTACACAGAGATGGGCTGCATAGCCATTGTTTTTTTCTCTTTTCATCATTACACTTTCCTGGTAAGTTCTTCAGTATCTATCTCACCTCCCACAATCCTACAGAGATTCCTGACCATTGTCCAATAGCATGCTGAATAATATTTTTATTCGTTTATTCTTTGTATTCAATGGACAATTACTTTACAACAGTCTGATGGTTTTTGCCATACATCAAGATGAATCAGCCCAAAGTATACATGTGTTCCTCAAACACACCTTTCTGGAACCCCCTCACAACTTTTTCCCCACTTGCTCCTTCTGGGTTGTCCCAGAGCACAACTTTGGGTGTCTTGCTTCCTGTACCAAACTCATACTTGTCATTTATTTTACGTATACATGGTAATGTATACGTTTCAGTGCTATTCTCTCAAATCATCCTATGCTTACTTATCCCACTCAGTACAGAAGTCTGTTTTTTACATCCCTGTCTTTTTTGATATCCTGCTTGTAGGACTGTCAGTACTGTCTTTATCAATGCCATATGCATATGTTAATCTTTAATATTCGTCTTTCTCTTTCTAACTTTATTCTGTAGAAGAGGTTCCATGTTCATCCGCCTCATTCGAGTTGATTCAAATGCATCCCCTTTTAGAGCTGAGTGATAAACCTGGCTTGTGTATAGGACCCACCAATTCCATTTCCATTCATATGCATCTATGCACAGGTTTATTACATGAAGTTTTGGAATTTTGTAGAAAATCAGGGAGCCCATTTTCCTACACTGAAGAGGAAATTCTCAGTGCTTCCAAGATCTACCTCTGAACAGACTATTTCACATACGATATGTCACTATATCCATTTCAGTTATGACAGTCTGTGTACAGATACTTCCCACATGAAATATGGAACCTCTGTAATTCATTCATGAAACTGTGCAGATCATCTCCCCTAAATGTTGCCAATGTCTAAATTTCACATACAAAAACCAAGGCACATGTTTTTCTTGGATTACATACAGTATGTTTTATGTGTCATATTTCTCCACTGAGGTGTGGAAGTTTCTAACAGAAATATTCAGTCCTCTATATCTCACATACTTATATCTGCAGCTGAAGTTTTCCACATTCAATGTGGAATTCTCTATATGGCACATATTCTCTTTCAATCACCTGATGAGCGAGGTGCTGTACTTACCTAAGAAAGAGTAAGTATATATAGACATGTATGTGGAAAGTTCATGTCTTAAGGGGCCTGTTCTTCTCCAAGCTTGTTCAGAGTAGTTATCTCTTATATGGCTGGGGCAAGAAGTTTTGGAGATCAGTCAAAGGCTGGACCTGCTGGGAGCAGGATGAAATCAACCTAATTGTCTTTGTTTTCCCCTTGGGTGGGAGAGTTCTTTTTTTGCATAGAATAGTGGGGAGGACCTGGATTGGACTTTTAACTCCAGGCTATTTTAACGCATGTATTTTCCTTCATATATTACACATAGATCAAAACTGTTACCATGTGTGCCGACGTGAAAGGCAGGGAGCAAGAACACAGTAACTGATGTCTAGGAGGAGCATATTTGTGCCCTGAAACACTTTGGGTGAGGAACTCTCCTCCGCTGAGAAGTGTATCCATAGCAACAAAGGTAGGCAGCATGGTCCTTGTCCTAAGCTGTGGGTATGGCAAAAGCCTGGAGCTGACAAACCTAGGGCCAGGGGCTACCACATGGTTTGGTTGAGGGGTGTGTCTGTCGGGGACCAGACAGGGAGCTGAGGGATGTAGTGTGCCCTTCCTCAAAGGATGGCTGTGTTACCAAGACTGCTGTAGCCTAAGTAATAAGTTTCAAGATGGATTCTGTAGCAGCCAAGTGACAGTGAGATCATTGTGTGCTCTCCCACCACCACTCAATACCCCAAAACAGATTCAGCCAACAAACCACACCCTTCAACCCTCCGTTCAGCAAGGGCTTTCAGATCAGATGCCAGCTGAGCACCTCTGCCCCTGAGGTACCCCTGTCTTACCCATGTGGACTTGTTAGCACATGTAGTTATCCCCTGACTCAGATATAATTTCATGCTTGAGGAAGATTGCAGCCTCAGTGTCAGGTTTCTCACCGTTACCTCCCAACTGGCCAGCTGTCACACTTGGTTCTCTGGCATATTCACCCTGTTGCTCAAGCAAACCACTTCAGTGGATATGCCTGCCACTTTATCTTGAGCTAAGATTAGCAAGTGGATCACTGCTGCCAGAGAGCTCAGAATTCCAAGGAACGTGTCCCTGTAAGGAAAGGCATTCAAGCTGTATTTGATTGATTCCTGATGGTGTTTGGAGGTCAGGTGGTGGAAATCAGCCCCCACTGGCCAGGCTACTGTCTTTGTGTGATGCCACAAGGTTCCCAGTACATGCTTGTCTCAGCTTCCCTGTTGATAGCCTGTGGCTGGGTAGTCAATTTGGAAGCAGAGACTGAAACTTTGCAAGGATTTTGCTGGTTACCTAGTGTGCTCTGATGTTCAGTCCCTTCACAGGTCTGTGCCATGGATGGGGCCACAAGGCAAATGAGATCAGAGGGAGGCCCGAGCACCCTGGGACCACTCTCAATCTTCTTCGGTGTGAGCTGGGGTATTCAGGGCACTATGGGGCCATCAGGATGCTGCAGTCAATAGGTGGTCCAGCAGGAGAGAAGGCATCACACTTCAGTGGGGAGGCGGATGAAGAAGGCAATGTCCTGGAGAAGGGAGAGGCATTGGGGTTAGGGTAGGTGACCCAAATGTTGGTGGAAGACATCACTGAGGAGGTGGAAGTGGTGGCACAGGGGGAACAAGAGCAGGTTTCCTTGCAGGAGAAGGCAGAAGAGCAGGGCCAGAACCATTCAAGTCCTGGAGACCCAAGTGAGCGGCCCACAGTGAAGGCACTGGAGGTGTTGGCAGCCATGCAGGAGGTGGTGAAGTCTACAAGTGAATGACCACAGGGCATAACTTCAGCTCAGGGGGAAGGGCCATCAGAGGAGAAAGGGTCCCTTGGACAGGAGAAGTATCAGGAAAATAATAGGTGGCCTTGGCAGGTGATTTAGGTCCTTCTCCCACACTCTTTCTGTCCTGGATGATCCTCAACCAGGAACTCATCCCAATCCAACACAGTGATACCAGGTATTTAAATGTAAGGCATACAACCCCACAGGCACCAAAATCCCAGCAACTGTGTGAACTTCTTCAACTGGTTCTAGGAACACAACTTGCAGGATCTTGCAGGATTGCAGATATGGGTTCCCTCTGCACTAGCACAGAATTGGCAATTGGCATCTGAGTTCTTGGAGGGCTCTGTATCCAACCAGGCCTGTGCTGATCTTGCTCATTTCCTTGGCAGATTATGTTTCAAGTTTTGGGTCCCAAACCTCTCAGTACTAGCTGAGGGCAAAGGCTCCACCACGAGAGACAACTGGTAGGTGGCCAAATGAGGAGACTGTGGGCTGGGCATTGACAGGTGTGTTCCCAGGAACCTGGGCCACTAATTTTTGTTGTGGAGAAACTGAGCCTTTGTGGAGCACAGAGTGACAACATGGCCTGTGGGAACTTGATGAGAACACATGTATTTAGAAGTAGTGGAAAACATGTTCTCATGAAGGAAGCTTGAGGAAGATGAAGCAGCCTGACCATCCAAAAGTCACTACTAAGATTTTCAGATGACACAGCTATGTTGAGCCTCTGAAGAGTCATCCCAAGTCCAACAACCCCACCCACAGGTTCATCTTCAATTTAGGATCAACTTATATTCCTCTTGAAGGTCACTTTCAATAAAATACCAGTGAGTCTCATTCGCACAGAGCTGTGCCTCATTAGCCCTCATTTGTTTCTCTTTTCATGACCACACTTGCCTTGTAAGCGCTTTGGCACCTCTTTCACCTCCCATAATCCCTCAGAGATTCCTAGCCATTGTGCAATATTATGGTGAATAGTCTTTTTATTTGTTTATTCATTGTAATCTAAGGGTAAATACTTTACTATATTGTGATTTTTTTTTTGCCATATATCAAGATGAATCAGACCAAGGGATACATGTGTTCTCCACATACACACCTTTCTGAATCCCCCTCCCACCTTCCTCCACACTCACTTCCTCTGGTTTGCAAGGAGCATGACTTTTGGTGTCTTGCTTCCTGTACCAAACTCACACCAGTCATGTATTTTACATATACCTGGTAATGCATACTTTTCAGTCCTCTCAAATCATCCTACTCTTACCTTATCCTGCTAGGTCTAGAAGTCTGCTTTTTACGTCCCTGTATTTGTTGATTCTTTTCGTATAGGATTGTCAGTACTGTTTTTATTTATAAAACATATATATGTGTTAGTCTTCAGTACATTTCATTCTCTTTCTGACTTCACCCTGTAGAAGAGGCTCCATGTTCATCCACCTCGTTCTAGCTGAGTCAAATGCATTCCCTTTTAGAGCTGAGTGATACAGCTGGCTTGTGTATAGGTGCCACAGATTCCATTTCCATTCTTCTACTTCTGTGTGCAGGTTAGAATACATGAACTTTTGAAATTCTGTAGAAAATCAAGGCGCCCATTTTCCTACATTAAATATTAAAGTCTCAGTCCTTCCATGATCTAATTCTGATATACACTATTTAACAGATGATGTGTCATTATATTTATTTCCCTTATGATTCTCTGGGTACAGATTCCTCTCACATGAAACGTGGAACCTCTGTAGTTCATTCATTAATCAGTGCAGATCATCTTTCCTGAATTTTGCCAATGTCTAAAATTCACATATAAAAATCAAGGCACATATTTTCCTTGCATTAAACACGGTACGTTTTATATGTTATACTTCTCCATCTAGGTGTGGATGTTTCTAACAGAAATATGGAGTCCTCTATATCTCACATATTTAAATCTGCAAGCAGAGTTTCCTACATGCAAAGTAGAATTCTCTGTATTGTACACATTCTCTGTCATCCACCTGAGGAGACTTTGTGATTGGGAAAATTGAGATTTTTGTTCATTTTCCATATGGAAAACAGGATACAGAATGTGCAATAAGACATATGAAGAGTACATGTTTCAGGTATGAAAATTTGAGGGCAGTTTTTGCCCGTGAAATATGGAATTGTCTATGTTTCACAGGTGGAAAGCTTACCTCAGATATTCTTGTTTGAAATACAGAATCCTATGTCCCCTATAAGCAATCTAGATATTGATTTTTCTCCCTAGGGCAATCAGATACCACGTATCTCAGGTGCATTTGTGGGTGTAGATTTTTCAACCTGAAACGTGGATTTCTCTGCATTTCTTTTTTTTTTTTTAAATATGAAACCGGGTTTAATTTCTGAAATAGGCAATGCTTTATATTCTATAATTGAATATATGGGTGCTGCAATCTCTACATTAAATATATAATGAAACATAATACCCTATATATGTCATTAGGAAACCTAGGCACAGATGTTCCTTCATGAAATATACAGGAATGAGGTATTGAATTCTTTGTATTATATTTAAGAATTTCTTTTCTTTGTTAAAAATTTTTATTTATGTATTTATTTTTATTTTATTTTTTCCACTTATTTTTATTAGTTGCAGGTTAATTACTTTACCAGTGTTTAGTGTTTTTTGTCATACATTGACATGAATCAGCCATAGATTTACATGTATTCCCTATCCCGATTCCCCCTCCCACCTCCCTCTCCACCTGATCCCTCTGGGTCTTCCCAGTGCACCAGCCCCGAGCACTTGTCTAATGCATCCAACCTGGGCTGGTGATTTGTTTCACCATAGATAATATACATGTTTCCCTCGCCTTCTACCACATAGTCCAAAACTCTGTTCTGTACATCTGTGTCTCTTTTTCTGTTTTGCATATAGGGTTATCATAACCATCTTTCTTAATTTCATATATATTTGCGTTAGTATACTGTATTGGTCTTTACCTTTCTGGCTTATTTCACTCTGTATAGTAGGCTCCAGTTTCATCCATCTCATTAGAACTGATTCAAATAAATTCTTTTTAATGGCTGAGTAATATTTCATGGTATATATGTACCACAGCTTCCTTATCCATTCATCTGCTGATGGGCATCTAGGTTGCTTCCATGTCCTGGTTATTATAAACAGTGCTGCAATGAACATTTGGAGGCACGTGTCTCTTTCAGATCTGGTTTCCTCAGTGTTTATGCCCAGAAGTGGGATTGCTGGGTCATATGGCAGTTCTAATTCCAGTTTTTAAAGAAATATCCACTGTTCTCCATAGCGGCTATACTAGCTTGCATTCCCACCAAGAGTGTAAGAGGGTTCCCTTTTCTCCACACCCTCTCCTACATTTATTGCTTGTAGGCTTTTGGATAGCAGCCATCCTGACTGGCGTGTAATGGTACCTCATTGTGGTTTTGATTTGCATTTCTCTGATAATGAATGATGTTGTGCATCTTTTCATGTGTTTGTTAGCCATCTGTATGTCTTCTTTGGAGAAATGTCTTTTTAGTTCTTTGACCCATTTTTTGATTGGGTGATTTAGTTTCTAGAGTTGAGCTGCAGGCATTGCTTGTATATTTTTTAGATTAATCCTTTGTCTCTTGCTTCATTTGCTATTATTTTCTCCCAATCTAAGGGCTGTCTTTTCACCTTGCCTATAGTTTCCTTTGTTGTGCAAAAGCTTTTAAGTTTAATTAGGTCTCATTTGTTTATTTTTGCTTTTATTTCCAATACTCTGGGAGGTAGGTCATAGAGGATCCTGCTGTGATTTATGTCGGAGAGTGTTTTGCCTATGTTCGCCTCTAGGAGTTTTATAGTTTCTGGTCTTACATTTAGATGTTTAATCCATTTTGAGTTTATTTTTGTGTATGGTGTTAGAAAGTGTTCTAGTTTTATTCTTTTACAAATGGTTGACCAGTTTTCCCAGCACCACTTGTCAAGGAGATTGTCTTTTTTCCATTGTATATTCTTGCCTCCTTTATTGAAGATAAGTTGTCCATAGGTTCGTGGATTTATCTCTGGGCTTTCTATTCTGTTCCATTGATCTATATTTCTGTCTCTGTGCCAGTACCATACTGTCTTGATGACTGTGGCTTTGTAGTAGAGTCTGAAGTCAGGCAGGTTGATTCCTCCAGTTCCATTCTTCTTTCTCAAGATTACTTTGGCTATTCGAGGTTTTTTGTATTTCCTTACAAATTTTGAAAGTATTTGTTCTAGTTCTGTGAAAAATACCATTGGTAGCTTGATAGGGATTGCATTGAATCTATAGATTGCTTTGGGTAGTATAGCCATTTTGACAATATTGATTCTTCCAATCCATGAATATGGTAAGTTTCTCCATCTGTTTGTGCCCTTTTGATTTCTTTCATCAGTGTTTTATAGTTTTGTATGTATAATTCTTTTGTTTTTTAGGTAGATATACTCCTACCTATTTTATCATTTTTGTTGCAATGGTGAATGGTATTGTTTCCTTAATTTCTCTTTCTGTTTTCTCATTGTTAGTATATAGGAATGCAAGGGATTTCTCTGTGATAATTTTATATCCTACAACTTTACTATATTCATTGATTAGATCTAGTAATTTTCTGGTCGAGTCTTTAGGGTTTTCTAAAGAGGATCATGTCATCTTCTAACAGCGAGAGTTTCACTTCTTCTTTACCTAGCTGGATTCCTTTTACTTCTTTTTCTGCTCTGATTGCTGTGGCCAAAACTTCCAAAACTATGTTGAATAGTAGTAGTGAGAGTTGGCACCCTTGTCTTGTTCCTGATTTCAGGGGAATG